CAATTTGGTCTTATCTTGGAACACTGAACAAACTTTCACATATCCTATGATCCAACAGTTCCACTCCCAGGTATGTATTAGGAGAAAATTCCTATGGCCATGCATGAGGAAAAGGGAGCAAGGATATTTGTAAGCACCTTTTCCACACTGCCAAAAATCTGAAAACCAATGCCACCAACGAGATAATAAGTAAATGGAGGCTGGAGGTGGAAATCTGTGGTAGAGCACTTGTCTAGCATGCACAAAGCTTTGGGTTCTGTTCCCAGCACTGAAAAAAAAAATGAGTGTGGAATAGTTATCCAGTGGCATATTATACAGTGATAAAGAGATGAATTACATAAACCCAACCAAAGAGGTGAAAGACCTCTACAATGAAAACTATAGGATGCTCAAGAAAGAAATTGAAGAAGACACTAGAAGATGGTAAGATCTCCCATGTTCATGGATAGGCAGAATCAACAGTTAAAACAGCCATATTACCAAAAGCCATCTACAGATTCAATGCAACCCCCACACTATAATACCAATGACATTCTTCACAGAACTAAAAATAAAATCTTAGATTTTATATGGAGAAACAAAAGACCCAGAATAGCCAAATCAATGAGCAAAGAGAGCAATGCTAGAGGCATCATGATATCCAATTTCAAATTAGATTAAAGAGCTATAGTCACTAAAGCTGTATGGCACTGGCAAAAAAAACCAGACACATGGACTAATGGAACAGAAGACACAGACAAATCTGCCCAATTATAGTCATCGGATTCTTGACAAAGGTGTCAAAAAATGCCACACATTGGAGAAAGGACAGCCTCTTCAACAAGTGGAAATTCAACATTACAAAACAACCCCAATCGGGAAGGGAACTGAACAGACACTTCTCAAAGGAAGAAGTGCAAAAGACCAAGGATTAGGGGGGAAATTTTCAACATCTTTAGCACAGTGGGGGATGCAAATCAAAGCTACCCCGAGGTCCCAGGCCGGTCCAGTTAGAATGGCAAGCATCAAGAATCCAAATAACAATAAATGCTGGTGAGGATGTGGGGAAAGGGGAACTCTTAGATAACTGTAGTGGGAATGTAAATGAGTAAATGTAAATGAGTAGAGCCCACTATGGAAATCAGCATGGAGGTTCCTCAAAAAGCTAAAAATCGATCTCCCTTGCGATCCAGCTACACCTCTCTTGCCAAAGAATTAGCATATTTCCGAGATAGATGCACATCCATATCTATTGCAGCATGATTCACAATAGCCAAGCGATGGAATCAGCCCAAGTGTCTGTCAACAGATGAATGAAAGAGGAAAATGATGTCTGTGTACAGCACAGAGCTTTACTCAGCCAAGAAATGAAATTGTCATTTGCCGGGAAATGGATGGAACTGGAGACCATGACTTTGAGCAAAATATGTCAGACTCAGGGAAAAAAAAAAAAAAAAAGATTGTATGTTTTCTCTCTTGTGTGGAAGCTAAAAGAAAAAAATAGGTCAGTTGTCGAGAGGGGCCCATGAAATTAGAAGGGAGACTAGCAGGGCAGAGGAAGAGGGTCAGGCGGACGGAAGGGGAAGGGCAGAGGAAGTACTGGGCAGTAAAATTCATCAAATTACATTGTGGGGTTTTTAGTTTTGCTTTCTGAGTGCTGGAAACTGAACCCAGGGGTGCACCTCTGAGCTATGTCCACAGTCCCTTTTTATTTTTTAATTTTGAGGCAGGGCCTAAGTTGCTGAGGCTGGCCTTGAACTTGCAATTCTCCTGCCTCAGCCTTCCGAGTTGCTAGCATTACAGTAAAGTGTGCATCACATGCCCGGACAAACTATATTTCTATGCATGCTTGAATGTGCCACAAAGAAACCCACCATTCTGCATAATTACCGTGCACCAACAAAAAAAAAGAATTTTTAAAAATTTAAAAATAAATTACAGATATGTGCAATAATATGGATGAAGTCTCAGAAACATGAGGCTGAGTGAAAAAAGCAAGTTCCGGGAGGTTATGTGGGACCGATACCCTTTCATATATATACATATTAGCATTTAAGGTCAAATGACCTAAAATGCTAATCAAAAAAGGCAAAGGGAATGAGGAGCCCCATATGGACAATATGTGTCTTTCTATATCTCTTATCAATACTAATAAGAGACAAAAATTTAAAGGACACTGATCAAAAAAGGCGAGAATGAGAAGCCCCCAGTAGATGCATAGATTTCTCTATGTGACACTCACGCCAATCAGAAATGTTGACCAAAATAAGAAACACACTAAGCCCAAACAGCCCCTCTCTACCTGGAGTGGGTGGGAGTGGTGGGTCCCCGCGGCCATGCTGGCACAAACTGTTCTTAGGGCCCATTCAACAATGGGAGGTGCCAGCCGTCCCTGTGGCAGGCCCTGCTCAGGCTTGGCCAGGGTCCTACCCACCTTTCTGACATCAGCCCGGCCCCGCCCTTGACAGTGCCTCCTCCTGACCCCCAGGATTTTGAACTGTACTGTCCCCTGCCGGGGACACTCAACTCTGATCTTTGCTCGGCTCCCTCCTTCTCCATCTCCGGCTCCAAGGCCACCTCCGCAGGGTCCCTGCCCAGGCCAAGAGAAGGAGCCCGGCCCCTGCCAGGCCCCTGCTGTCCCTCAGGCTCCCCGTCTTCTCCCCAGCGCCCAGCACAGCCTGAAACAAACCTCGCCACCCCCTCTCTGTCTTTCCCAGGATCCAGGACCTCGGGGTGCCCACTGCCGCCTCCCCGTGTCTGCGCCACACCTGCCTCCCCACGAGGCTCAAGAGGGCGAACGTCCCTCTGGGGGAAAGCCTTTGGGGTGTCCGTGGTGGAGGCCGGCGGCCCTCCCGCTTTCCTTTCTGCTGTGGGTTCTGTGGGGTCTGGGGCCTCCCCGACCAGAAGCCCTGTATCCAGCACCTGGCCAGAGACCTGGGCTAAGGAATGAGCCAAGGTCCCCTGCACCCTCCCCTCCTCCCCTCTCCGGACCGTTCCCTCCATTCTCCACCCTCCTCCGTGCCAAGATGCTGGCACCCGGGCAAGCTGCCGAGAAAGGCCACCGGCAGGGACTTCCTGGGACGGGGGAGCCACTCCAGGCAGTGAGGGGACAAAGCCCACGGCCATCCTCTGTCACAGGAGCCACCCAGGGCCGGGTCCCACAGGGCCCGGGAGTCGGGCCTGCTCCCCGCAGCCCGCCCTTGGCAGCGGGAGGGTGTCACAGGACCAGGAGGCTCCTCCTCCAAGCCAGGGGCCTGCACAGCAGAGCTCCCTTGGCCCAGGGCCACCGGGAAACACTCAAATTCAAATCAGGCAGCTACCAGAGGAAAGGACGCTTCCTCCGGGAGGGAGCGCGGGCCACCGGCCGAGCAGGGTAAGGAAGGAGGAATCGCAGAGCCAAGTTCTCCCCGGGCCATCAGCGGGAGGCTCCCCATCCCAGGAAGACTCTGGAAGCCTGCGATAGACACACAGGAGGGACAGGCACGGGGCCAGAGCCCTGGACTGAGGCTTCTGAGTTAGCTGCAGCCTTGGCCAGGCTAATTGCTCTGGCCTCCCCCTGACCTGGTCCTGGAGACACCAGGACTGCCCTGTGGGGCCCCCACCTCGCTCCCCACCCGCCCTCCCCCCAGGAATCGCACGGGACAGAAAAACTCTCGGCTCCAGCTCAGAGACTCCCCTGGAGCGTCCTGCCCTGGAGTGTCACGCAGCCCACTCCTGCGGTTTGCTGGACTCCTGCCGTCCCCCCACCCCTGACACACAAGTCTGGCTCTGGAAGAAACAACAGTTCAAGAAGAGTTTGTACATCTGGCCTGCAGAGATTTATCTAACATTTATTAAGTGATTATGGGTCCAGACTCTGGAAGCAGGCTGCCCTGGTTCCATTCTGGGTTAACCTCTTGTGAGCTAGCTACACGACCTGGGAAGGTGTCCCTTCCCTTCCTCTGTGTGTCTCTTCTCTGCCTGAAAAAGCAGGGAATCCAGGTTGCCCATGGTGGAACACGCCTGTAATTCCAGCCACTCAGGAGGCTGAGGTAGGAGGATCACAAGTTCGAGGCCAGCTTCAACAATTTAGTAAGGCCCTAAGCAACTCAGTAAGACGCTGTCTCCAAAAACTGGGGGGAGGGGGACGCTATGGATGTGACTCAGTGATTAAGTGTCCCTGGGTTCAATCTCTGGTACCGAAAAAGGGAAAAAAAAAAAAAAACAACCAGATTCCAGTACCCACCCTTTGGGGTGGTTCAAAGGACCACGTGAGAACGGACCAACTTAGCTGGCCACACTGACCACGGGGCTCCAGTAAATGACAATTCCTACCACTATTAGCAAACAGATTAAGGCTTGAGGAGGAGCAGGCCTGGACCTCTGGACAAGACTCCCCCAAGGCAGACGTATCCTCTCAACCACAGCCTGCCCAGAGCCGACCTGGGAGGCAGGAAGGAAACGCCCAGGCTCTGGTCTCCAATCCCAGAGCCACTGCCCACTGGCCTGGGACCCTGGGCGGCCCCGCTGAGCCTTGTCTCCGCCTCTGTATGACCCAGATCACAGTCCGCCTCTGTATGACCCTGGCAGACCTTCCCGACCTTGGAGGGGAGGTGGTCCCCAGGGCGGTGGGCCTCGAACAATGCCGTGGAATCGAGTGGACACACGCCCTGGGCTGCGGAGGCGACGGGAGGCTTCCCTTCCTGGAAACTGTCTGGGCCCGGCATCAAGGTGTCTGAGATCCGGAGGAGGCCCCGGGAGGAGACGGGGAGACTAACCTGCACCCCACAGATGCACGGTGCCCCACGCACTGTCACACCAGCCTGCCTGCCAAGGACCGGCCCAGGGAGGACCAGGAAACCGCCCGGCAGGGAGCTCCAGGGGTCCTTTGGGGAGGTGGTAGCATGGCCAGGCGCCACAGCCCGGCGGCCCAGGTGCACACCCAGACCCATCAGTGGGCGACGAACCATCTCCTGGGCAAATGAGCACCTTGCTGAGCCTGGTTCCCCATCATGAGCAAGAACAATGACAAGGGCACCTACCTCCTGATGTGAGGGTCAGGGAGTGACCGCAGCTAACCGCCTGTGGGCCGTGACTGCTACAGTCACTCAGGGCCACTGTCCTTCCTTCCCCGAAGGCTCCAGCTGGCTGGCTCTAGCTGCCGGCCAGGTCTCCCTCCTGCTGGCTCCTATGCAGGGCTCAATCGCTGCCTGCTCCGCAGATGACGGTCACAAGACCCACCATGCGCTCAAAGCTGGACGGGCGCGCTATATTCTCAGAGATGTGCCACAGCCCGAGCAACCTGACCACCTGACCCTCAGGTGTGGGGCAGGGCTGTGTGACGCGAACAGGACGGTGGGGAGCAGCTTCTGAAGTGGGCTACTCGAAACCCAAGTGTCCTGAAAGGTGTTGAAATATTTGCACTTGTTACAGACTGTGCCCTGGGGGACAAATATTTACCTCTCAGAGATTCAACTGCAAGGAACCGATGTCTAAATATGTGTGATATTTAAAACAAATATGTATTGATATATGTATCAGTGACTCCTCTGCCTGGTGGAGGTAGGATTTGCCGCATGAGGAAACTGAGGTCAAACAACTCTTAGTCCCTGTGACATGTTACTCTCTGCCAGCGTCACTCGACAAATGCGTATGCTGTGCCTGCTTTTTGCACCAAGGAACATGACATGTAAGGATTTCGCAAATGACAGCTATAACTATTCTCATTAGGAAATAAAGTTGTCTGGGACTGGGGGAGGGGGGTTCCTCTGTGAACAAAATGGACAAAAAGAGTAGCCAGAGATGGCACTTGGGAGACAAAAGGCAGAGCTGCCAACGGGAGCCTGTCACCCAGGAAGCTGGCTTGTCCTGCTGCCAAACACTAATAGCCAGTGAAGAGCTGGTATCACTGGTGGAGAGGGCAAGACATCAGCAGAGGCTAGGAAGGGTGGGTGGCCAGCGCACGACCCAGGCATCAGTCCTGGAGGACAGCCAGGCATGGTGGTGCACGCCCGTAATCCCAGAAACCTGGGAGGCTGAGGCAGGAGGATCACAAGTTCAAAGCCAGCCTCAGCAACTCAGCAAGGCCCTAAACAACCCAGCAAGCCCCTGTGTCAAAATAAAATATAAAAAGGGACTGGGGATGTGGCTCCGTGGTTAGGTGCCCCTGGGTTCAATCCCTAGTACCAAAAAAGAAAAAAGCAACACATCACCCTGTTAAACACCGGAACCGGCCTCCGAGGCCTGAGCTAGACAGCATGCGGACGATCACATGGCTCGAGACTTCCCAGCAAGGTCTAGGAAAAACAGCCATGATGCCAAGTGGTCACACAGGCAGGGGGTGGGACACCGCAGGGAAGGGAACAGCAGGTAGGTACCAAGGCAGAGATGACAGGGGCTGGAGGGACACCCTTAGGCAAGTAGCCTTGCCTCTGGGAGCCTCAGGTTGTGTTAAGGATTCGGTGAGTTCATGAGCAAGACACGGCTCTGAAAACTGAACGTGTAACAGGAACCTGAAAACCGAGGTCGGGAGTGTTGAGAGTGCCTTGTCGAGGGTCGCATGGACCCTCCAGGACACAGGGCAGTCCCTACCTGGCCTCAGTGGAGTCAACACTCCCACCCCCACCCGGGCTCCCCTTGGCGATCTTCTCAGCAAGGCTCAGGGATCAGGCAGGCCAGCTGCTTGCTGTGTGGTCCAGGGCCGGCCACCCTCCCTCTCTGAACTTCAGTTTTCTAACTTGTAAAACAGAGGTGCTGCTTGCGATGCTGCCCCCACAGAGATCGGGAAGGCTTTGGGCTGGGGTGCAGCCCCGCAGTAGAGCACGTGCTTAGCAAAAGGTCCTGCCGGCGGGAGGGGACTTTCCACAGGCACAGGAATGCACCATCACAAGTGAGAAATGATAACGGCGACTGATAGACAGCAAATGTGCAGTCTGGCTGTCCTCCACACTGGCCCTTGGAGGCAGCAGGACCTGGCTTGGAGCTGGACAGATGTGCCAACCGCGTACCACTGGGGAGCTCAGGCCATGCGCTTGGATCATTGGAAGCCCTGGGCTTCTAGGAGGACGGGGGCGCGAATGTACAAGCTCGCAGAGGGCTCGGTGCCTAACAAACACGCCCTGAACGGGGGTCGCTCTTATTGCCATTATTATTACCATCACCGACACTATTGTGAACCGTGGGGGAAGAGGGAGTCTAACCCTTTCCAAGAGGACCCGAAACCAGCCCCTTTCTGTCCCTCTTCCTGACACCTGGGCAGTGACCAGACCCAGAAGGCAGTCTCCACCTGAATAAGAGCCCGGCTGCGCACCCAGCAGAGGTTCCACCCCAGGGCAGAGGCGAGCTCTGGCACAGTCCAGCGCAAGGTCCCTCCTACTTTCCAGGCAAGGGAAAGAAGACGGAGGAGCACCGTATCACTGAGCTGAGTGCCACCTGGGCCTGGCCCCTCCTCCTCCACACACTCACCAAGTCTCCTCTGGTTCTGGATGTCCTTTCACCCTGCGGGCCAGTTCTAATTAGTGGCTAGCCTGGAGGCGCACACGATATTTAAAAGGACTTTGGAGGGGGAGAGAGAGTGTATGTGCAGTGGTGGATTAGTGATGTCTGACGTGGGCGTGGGGCAGGGGCGTGGCACTGTGCATTCCAGCTATTTATCATCCATGAACTAGAAGAGTCTGAAGCTCTTGCCTCATCTGAGTGAGGGCTGTCTGGCAGGATACCCAAAAGGGGGGCAGGGGACTTGCCCAAGGCCACACAGCTTGAGATGGTGGGGCTGGGATTGAAACCTGGGCTCCTCTGGGGATCTAAGGACACCTTCCACTGCCTTCTGGAACAGGAGGTGGGTGTCCAGGCTGAGACTCAGATGCTACTGCCCTGCTGCCCAACCAGCGCCTGTGCTTGATCCTCTCCCTCTGGGGCCTCCACCCCGGGTCAAAAACCACAGACAGATGATGCAGAATGCACACAGCAAAGTCTCCAGAGGAATTGTATCCAAAGGTAGAAAGTTGAATTCAGATGCTAATCTGCCTGGGCAGGTGGGCAAGAGACCTATATCAGGGTCTCACCTCCACATTCCATCTGTGTGACCTCAGAGAAGTTACTCAACTTCTCTGAGCTTCTGTTTTCTCCTTTGTCAAATGGAGAGAATTACAGGTTAAAACACAATACCGTCATTCAAAGTAATTAGCTCAGTTTCTGGCACGGAGTAATCCCTTAAATGTTAACTATAAGGACAAATCAAGGGGAAAAACAACAATCAAAGAAAAACAGTGTTTTTAACCAAAATTACTCGGATGAGGTGATGGCGCGAACAAGCTGTGGGGGGATCGATTTCTTGGGTACCTCGAGAGGCTCCCTGAGAGGAAAGGCGAATTCCTGAATCAGATTATTTCGAAACCAATAGGGAATTGACTCTTCTAGGAAGAGCACTGATGTCACTCACAAGGTGGGGGGGCGCAGCTCAGTGGGTGTCGATGGCCAGGACTCGGCACCCGCTGTGCAGACCCAGGGTCCAAACCCAGGCTCCAGGCGAGGGCCCGTGCCCCACGCAGGCATCCAAGCTCCGCGGCTGGAGACATGGACTTTCATTGGGAGGGACACTTAATGAGCCGGAGAAGCGGAGCCGTGGAGGAGGGGAGGCGGACTCAGAGGAGGCTGGTGGCTGGTGGCCCAGGACATGTGATTAACTGCTGTGTGCTGAGAGGCAGGCCGGGCACAGGGGGTTCAGGTGGAGAAATAAGGGGACAAGCTCAGCAACCCCAAGCCCGGGGCCAGCTCGGTGACTCAAACCTGGGGGCCCCAGTGCCCAGCAGCGCGGAGCTGCAGCGCGCCCAGCCTGCGCCGCAGGGACAGGGCGAGGGGCTCAGAGGCCAGGGCATGGGTGGGGGCCCAGGGCTGGGGGCGTGGTCAGTGGAGGGCGCGTGCCTAGCACGCAGGCCCCGAGGTCCACGTCAGAGTGGCGCAAAAAAAAAAAAAGTCAACAGGTGCATTCTTATAAAGGTCGGTCTCCAAATAAACGCAATGTGCCTTGGCCACTTACACAGTCCTCTAGAGCCCATAAAACGTGGGCCCAGCTCTGTCCTGCCGTGTGCAGATCCGGCCAGGTGAAGTTCATTCACCGAGTCACGAACCCACCACCTGAGCAGGAAGCATCTCAGAACGAGCCACCGTGGAGGGCGGGGGGGCGCGGGCGGCTCCGGGCTTGGGCTCCACTACAGGGCCTCCAGGTCTGGTTCTCCAAAAATAACCTCCCAGCCCCCCTCTCCTCCCTTCCCTGGCCAGCGCAGCTAACAGAGGCACCCGGGAGAGGAATTTTTTTCTTTTTTGGCACTGGGGTTTGAACCAGGGGTGCTTAACCATTGAGCAACACTGCCAGCCCTTTTTTACTTAATTTACTTAGAGGCTGGGTCTCGCTGAGTTGCCAAGAGACTTGCTAATCTGCTGGGGCTGGCTTTGAACTCTGATCCTCCTGCCTCAGCCTCCCGAGTTGCTGGGATTACTGGTGTGCGGCATCTCACCCAGCTCTGGGAGAGTAAGTTGTACGGAGGGGTCCACCTTCTCCAGTGCAGAACAGCAGAGAGTGGGGCTCGGTATCACTCCTGGGACCCAGTGTCACTCGAAATGCCCCTTGCCACACAGAGCAAGAAGGAGAATCAGGAGACCTGCCATCACACTTAGGCTTCCCTCCAGTGCGCAGCTTCCCTCCACAACTCCCATGTTTAACCACCCGGCTTCAGGCCTCTGGTCCACCATGCGGCCTGCACAACGGTTTCATTCATGAGGTTCTTGGCATAAAGTTAGCTAGAAGAGATCGAAATAAAACACACAGGCTCAGTTACCTTATTCTATTGCCAGGTCCGAGACGGCTCCCCTCTCTGGTTCCCTCCTCTAGCCGCCCAGCAGGGCAGCGAGGATTACTCGGGGCTAGCAGGAGAGAGTGAGTGAACAGCCTGGGAGTAGCCTTTTATTGGGGAACAAGAGACTCAGGGGAGAATTCCATCCAATGAAGGTTGAGGGGGGCTGCACTCCAAGGTCAGGGTCAGTGATTGGGCCCCGGGGTCAGTGGTCAGGCACACCCCCACACGGATGGGCTCTCTCATCAGGAAAGGGCACGGCCAGAGC